GGGGTTGCTTAGCATTTGTTCTATGGTGTCAAACTTTAGCCACAGTTGGAGGCAACAAAGATTCTTTAGAAATCCCACTATGTTTGCTTTGCAGCTTCTCACCCTTCATCACAGGCACACTTCAGACTCCATTTTCTCAAACCTCGAAACTTCTTCCCCAAACTCAACTGATGACCTCGCTTCCTATTTCTCTGAGAAAAAAAAGCAGCAGTCAGAAGAGAGTAATTGCACACCCCCATCACCACCTCTGCCCATCCACCAGCATCTGGGCCCACGGTCTCTGGCTTCTCTCCCGACTGTGAGTGCTGGTGTGTGGTGTGTGGTGTGTGGTGTGTGTGTGGGGGGGCAGGGGGCAGGAGGAGGAAGGGAGAGAGAAGATGAGAGGATAAGAATGAACTGGGGAAGGAGATAATAAACTTAATCATAAGCACAGTGTCACAGAAATCAATAAAAATGATCTGACATGCAGTATGAATTTGTCATGCTTAGCAAGTGAATATGTATATGAAAAACAGAGTAGGTCATGGGTAACATTACACAGATGAACATTTTCTTGACCTGCTATGTGATGGTGCTTCACTTGCTTTCTTTGTTATCTAAGATTGCTAGTTGTCTAGAAGGCTTGGCAATATATATCTTTAAAATCTGTGCAATTGACATTGGCCTCATACCCTTCTCTAAGCTTCTTCAACCACCACATTCTCTACTTAGTCTTGTTTCTCTCTGTCCAGGGCAAGTAAATATGCTTTAAAAAAATGTGTTTTTTTTTTAATTTTAAACAGCCACAGAGCTACTGGGAGTGTGGGGGAAGGAAGGGAGATTCTGCTGATTTTGTAGCCAGCCTCCTGGGTTAGCTCCTGAGTGGCTGATGGACTCTGGTTAGGGATCCAGGGGTCATCCAGGCAGGGCATGGGGGATGGCCTTGCCATCATTTTTTCATCTTTGGGGTTTGGTGGTTGGGAAAGTGACATCTAGGGAGTGAGACTCCGTTTGGAGAAGTAAAAAGAAGACAGGGAAGAAAGAGTTGCTGTGTGCCTGGCAGTTCACCACAGCCTATTAACAGAAGAAGAAATTGGGCTTAGAGAAGTCGCCATTTGTCCACAGCCACACGGCTAGGCTGAGATAGAGCAGGCCTGTTTGTCTCCAGAGGCTTTTTTCTTTGCACGTCCTCAACTACACTCTAATTGTTGGCTATAATTAGAGTTTTTTCCCTTAGACAAAGCCAAAATGAAACCTAGGAGTGAGATGGAGATGGCAGCAGCCTGTACCCTTTCTTCACCTTCCCACAACTATGAGGTAAAATCAAGAGGAAAGCTAGTTGTGGGCTTGAGATTCATATTTGGGACAAGGGAAGGAGGGCACAGAGCCGAACCCAGGTAAAACTGAAATGGACAGAGTATCTTCACTTTTCTCTCTTCTCCCCTCAAAGAACCTCCTCCTCTGCCACCCACGGAGACCCCACCCAATGCCTGGGTCATGATACAGACTTCTATCCACTCTGTGCTTGGTTACACTTGCCTCACTTAAGGTTCCTACTACACCTTTATGGGCCTTGCCATCATCATCTGCACTAGCTGGGTGGTCTCAGGGTCTCTGGGCTTGGAGCCCAAGCACTTTCAACTATAACATCCAAAGAACATGAGTCTAAAAGGGGTTGTCTGAAGATGGGGAACAGAATCAAAGAAAGAACCCTTAGATTTCTCATGATCTACACAGTTGCAAATAGAGGTTTGCACTTTGAATAAAGGATCTTGCTTCAATGACCAGTGTTTCCTGTCATTTTGGATGATATATGGACAGCCATCCCCCATTGTCAATGCCAGTAGGTGGAAATTATATAAATGAAAACTTAAAATACATATTAGCACACATGGTAAGTGGGTGTGGCAGGAGTAGGGAAGGTAGAACCTGAATGAGTGAAATTGGGAAACATGACGTTGAACAAACAAATGAATCTCCAGCAGGATGATTTCCACTGGAGACCACTTAGCAGAGGCAATATTTGGGGGTGAGATGGGATTTCTGATGTCTGATATTCCACACGAGCCCTGAATCCAGGAGATGGATGTACCATGCCTTCTCTGAGCAAATATTTATTGAGCAACAGCTATGTGGCTGACACTGCTAGGCGCTGGGGATACTGCAGGGAGAAAATCATACCCGAATTTTCCCTTCTGAGGCTGACATTCTCCTTGAGGGAGACAGACCATATACACTGAATATAAATTGGTGTTCCCTCAGTGTCTCCTGGTAGAAAGGTCTCTATCCTCAACTTCTAAAATATGCCACCCCACTTCCTATATTACTGAACTAAAGGGGTTCGTTCGCCTGCACATATCAAAGTTCAATCAAACACAAACAGCAGTTTGTAGCAAAGAAAGTAAAGGTTTATTTAAGGAAATGGTGCCAAACTTGGAACTACAGGTGAGCTATTGCTCCAAGCCCAGGCTCCCTGATGGCTTCTAGGGGATGGGTTACATAGGGGAGAAATAATTAATTATGGTGACTAAGGGAGTTAGGGCCATGGTCTCTGCTGACTGGCTGGCCCTAGGGTAGGGCACAGTTGATAGTCATATCTGGCCTGATGTCAGCCATGGCATCGTAGTTTCAGGTTTCAAAAGGATGCATTCAGTGGGGTCATTATGCTTTTCTGAGTCTGGAGCTGAAACACAGCTGAGTAGGTGTTATCTCAAATTTGATTGAAACTCTCTCTCTGTGGTCAACAGACTCAAGGCTTTGTTCCTAAGATTACTTGATTCTGACCAGAACCTCATTGTCCTAAGGGCTTAATGATTAAAGGAGTGGACATGCAGGGGAGAGGGAGGTAGGTGAGTTAGGGTGCTGGAAGAGGCCAGTTTGGATCAAGAGTAAAGAAAGGAGAAAAGGTCTTACTGAAGAAATGAAGTATCTGGTTTCACCGGGCCCCTCAAGCAGTGCCTCACAGGCCACTGGCCTCTCTGAGCTTCAGTTTCCTCACTGGTAAAATGGAGATGGCTATAGTAAGACTTCACAGAAGACTAGTGGTTTTGGCATATATAGTCCTCTGAGGGTCCCTTTGGAACTGCAGAGTCTTGGGCCCCACCCCAAAGGTTCTCATCAGTGTGTCTGGGATGGGCCCAGCAATCTATCCCAAGTTCCCGGGTGGTTTTGAGACCGGTGATCCTGGATGGACCCCTGCAACCCCACTTGGAGAGCATGTAGTAGATGATGAATGTGAAAGGGAAAGTGCTCTCTAAGTGGCAGCTGTATTAATGCCGTGCATAAGGAATTGCTGGAAAAACTGGCTTCAAGTACCAGCTCTAGCCTTGGTGGACCAGCTTTGGCCTTGCTGTGGGTGGCTATGAAAAGCAGCCCTCAGTCTTCTGCTGTGGGAAACCTAGTCTTTTGATGGTCTCAGTTGCTGCCTTTCTGAATCCTCCCTAGGTCTTTGTGCTGAGACTGACCCCAACTAATTCCTGAGCAGGGTGGGGCTGCTAATACAGGCTCATTCTTGTAAGACGCTAGACTGCTTTAACAGGAAACTTCCGCTTGAGGATTCCCCATTGCTCTGGCCGGAACATTCTAGGTATTTTGGGGCAGTCCAAGGCTCTTTCTGTGTAATTTTCTTTCCTTTCCCATCTCCTTCACAGGTGTCTAAAGGCTCTCTCTGCCTTCTTTACTTCCCTCATTCTTTACAAGTGTTTTCCCCAAGAATTCTCTTGCTCATCTAGTTCCATCTCGGCATCTTCTGCCCCGAGGACCTGAACTAATACACCTGACTGGGCTCTGACATCAGAACAGCCTTCAGTGGGGCCCTGTTTATTACCGCGCTCCTTCCTGGTGGCAGGAGCCTTGCTCAGTGGGATCATATGCACGAGAAGGAAGGGCTGGCCACTCCAAAGTCTTGTTAGCCTCGTCTTCTGCAGGCCGGGCACAGCCACGTTGGCATGGTACCAATGCCTCTTCAGGGATTGTTGCTGTCTGGTGCAGGTTCAGAGCATGACTCACTCACTTTATAGAGCTATTGCCCAGAAAGTTCGATACTGGCCCTGCTGGCGGGTTCTCTGCCGCATAGCAACGTGTTACCGTTTAAGGAGCAAATACTCTGCCCTTCCCCTTCCCCCCAAATGCCTAGAACTAGCTCTCTGTGGTTTCAGCCACTCCTTTTGGTGGACGAGGCCACAAGGTACACTGGAAATGCCCTGGTTCTAGGCCAGCTCTGCCACTTCTAGCAACAGGGTCTCTATAAGGTCATTTTCTTTCTCTACTATTTGGTTTCTTCGTTTGTGAATTCAAGAAGCTGAGCATCTCTTCCTAGAGACTGGATTCCATTTCTAGTCCGAAGACTCTCTGAAAGACTAGTACTCTCCAGAGGCAAACTTACTCTTCTTCCATTCTGCGCATTAAATGCACATGAAACATGTATTATTAGCTCAGCTCTGTGGTAGACACTGGGGATTCAAACATGTGAAGAGAAGGTCTTTGCCCTCAAATTGCTCAGAGTCTTCCTAGGGATACAAACATGTCCACAGATAATTCCAGTACAATGAGGGTTTTGTAATCACCAAAAGATGAAAGACTTCTGCTTTGGTTTTTACTAACATTTTATAATGGGAAGTGGGAGAGGTGCAGGAAATAGTTTTCTGATGATGTTTGGCTCCAAGAGGAAGGACAATGTGTTTCAATGTCCCCAGGGTTAAAGAAAAGAAAAGAAAATGAAAAGAGTATTTATTTTCATTGAGAAGAAGAAACCAAGAAACTGTGGAGGCTGAACAATTAGGGAAAGTTTTTTTTTTCTTTTACAGGTCATGGGGCTAGTTAACCATTAGTGAGACCCACGTGGGTGCTGGGTGTTGAAAACTGTGAGTGGCTGGGTTATGTGATGTCTTTGGCATTGGGGCCGGCTTTACCCCAGCTCTGAGACTGGACTCAGCCATGTGCCCTGGCCTCTGGCAGAGACGTTTCTTCTGGTCATGGGGGCTCCTTTTGTGGTTCAGCGTTGGAATTGCAGGTAAATCGGGGGCTCGGGCCTTGGGTGGAATGATTCTGTTTCTCAGGCCATTATGTATGCAGTGCTAACCTTTGGAAGGCCCCCTAAAAGCCCTGTCTCCTGAGATGAATTTACAAGGGGGAGAAAAAGCCCAACAATCATAGTGGTAATGATGTCATCAGGGCACTTTCTCAAGTCAGAAAAATTGAACTTCCCTGGTTGTTCCACTCATTTTTCCCTTTCAAACTCTCATTACTCCTTTTTACCTTGCACAAGCCAGGATGACTCTAAGAAAATAAAATTTGATTAATTCCAAAATATGATTCATTTTCACCCCATAGATATTCACCAGTCCAAGATATAAATTTTCCAAATTAACGATTTTGTCACTGAGCTTGTGAGACGTCCTTTTTAATATTGCTGACCCAACTCAAATTCAGGTTTATCATCCCTCCGAGCAGGACACTGATAACTAGCCCCTGCCAACTGTGGGTGCCCGTTAAGAAAACTTCCCACACATGCCATTTGCATTCTACCTTTCCCGTTAAAAACCCCACCCACCGCTTCCTTAATATAGCAAACTGAAACCCTCCTGTGGCACTGAGATTCTCTGACTGGTGAAGATCCTTGCTTGCCCCCAGCAGCGGCATCACCCTTATAGAAAGTGCTCCTCCTCCTGGGCCCAACAGCAGACTGCTTTTCTGCCATGTCTACAAGACACTGAAATCTCATATCCCAGCTTTAGAGTGTGGCATTTCCTCTGCCTAGAGTTTCTCATACTGTCTTTTCGTTCATTTCAGCTCTTCCTAACTTCCAAGAGGGCTTTCAGGATTCCTATCTCCCTTGCCAAACTGCATTCCTCTACTCAGCACTCCATCCCTGCTCCAAAGTTCAGCTTGCATGAGTATATTTACTATCTACATTAATGGGCTGCTTTTAAAAGGTGCTGCCTAGCTTCATGTGTCATTTATTTGTGTGTGTATAAAATGACTTCCATATATATATAGAAATATATATATATATTTTATATAGAAATAGAGAGAGAGAGATAAATATATAAACAAATATATATAAATAAGTATATATATTTATTTTTATTTTTGTACCTATTTATATTTATTATTTTGCATATATGTTAATAAAGGAAATTTATCTATCATTTTCTTTCTTATATTTCCCTTATCTGGTGTTGATACTAAGGTTATTATAACCTCATAAAATAAGTTTCTATTGTCTGAAATAGTTTATATAAGATAAAGATTATCTGTACTTCACAAGCTTGGAGTTCTCAAATGAAACCATCTGGCGCTAGTGTATTTTAGGACCAGAGAAGACTCTTGATTACCAATTCAATTTTTTGATGCTAGTAGGTTTATTTGGGTTTTCTATTTTTTCTTAAGTCAGTTTCAGTAAGTTATATTTTTCTAGAAAATTACCCATTTTTTTTTTAGTTTTTCAATGCATTTGTCTGGGAATTTTTAAAAAATATCTTTTTATCATGAATGTTCTACAGTTTATACTATAATCTGCCTAGTATAGATTTACTTATTTATTGTATCTTGCTCATTACCGTGTGTATCATTTTTTATTAGTGAACTCATTCTTAGCAATTATCTTTCCAAAATACTGCTGCTTCTCCCATTCTCTTCCTTTAGAGAACAACTACTAGATAAATGATATTGGAGCCTCATTTATCATTAAAAGCCTATACTTTTAAAATATATATCTTTTTAATCTTCACCCAAGAATATGGTTATTTTTTAATTGATTTGAAAAAGAGGAAGGAGGGGGGAGGGAGAGAGAGAGAGAGAGAGACATTGATGTGAGAGAGAAACATTGATTGGTTACCTCCCATACACACCTGATCCGGGATTGAACCCAAAACCTAGGTATGCCCTGATCAGGAATCGAACCCGCACCACAACCGTTTGGTGTACAGGATGATGCTCCAACCAACTGAGCCACCTGGCCCGGGCTATTGTCTGTACTTTTTAACTGCACTTTTATACTTTAAAAGTTTTTTATTTCTGTACTAGACATTGTAGGATTTATTTCTTTTTTCAATAACTTTCTTTTTCATTTCCAATTTTCTGTTTAACTTTTTCTTATAAATCTTACTATATTATTTATGCTTGTTTTTATTTCATAATTTCTTACACTCTGTCTTTATTTTTATCCTTGCATATTCTCAGCATACTTATTTTAAAGTCTATGTCAAAGGTTTTTAAAATTTTATTTCACTTGGAATGAATTCATGATCCCCTTATTTGTTTTATTGACTGTCTTTGTAAACATTTGAATTCTTTATATATATATGTTTGTAGGCTATTTAAAATAAGCTTTTTACTAAAGTACAACACATGTACAGAAGAGTACACAGATTATTAACATAGATTAATGAATTTTCAGAGTGAATTCACCTATGTAACCATCATCTGGAAGATCAACAAATTAAACATTAACAGCATCCTCAGGCCCATTCTCTGTATCCCCTCTTAGTCACTACCACCCCAAAGGTAACTATTATCTTGACTTCTAATACAATAACTTAGTTACATTTTCATTTTCAACGAAAAATTTGGTTTTGGCCACTTTCTGCCTCTATCTTTCTATCTCCCCCCTCACCCTATCTTCAAAGTCTCTCCTCCAGTCAGGTCAGCGTCTCAGCTCCTGTTAACCGGGCCTTATCTTTCCATCCTGCCTCCCTAAATAAAGCGATAGCTCCAGGAAAAAAGTTGATAGTTATTTTTTGTTTGTATTGATTTTTTGTTGTTTAATTTTTGGTTTTAGCTTCCTTTCCTGAGGTAGGGAGCCCCTCTCCACCGCTGGCTACCACAGGTGGGCCTGCTGCTGGTCTCCACACCTGACATGGAGCACTCTGGGACCTCACAGGGCTGAATTCTTACAACCACTGCCTTCTCCCAGACCTGGAACCCAGCACCATTTTGCATTTCTGTTCTTGTTCTTGTATGGAGATACTATTTTTATGTTTGAGATTGTCTAAGACAGTTTTTTCTCTTTTGATATTCGCCTGTCATTACTCTTTGGTTAGAGCGCTGGTTGCGGGGAGGGGGTACATGAGCATGAGTCGCTGTGCCACGTGCCATACTCCTAAATGATCAACAGTTTTATCATCTGCAAACACTGGCAATTCCGCCCCCCCCCCCTTTTCTTTATAAATTTAATTTTTTTCTTCTTTTTAAACTTTATAAATTTATCCCATTTAATCCTCTTGTTTCATTGGTTGGGACTAGGACTTCCAGTACAATATTTAATAGAAGCAGTGACAGCAAAATTCTCATTTGTTCCCAGTTCTCAATGGAATGCTTCTAAGGTTTCACCAATAAGTATCATCATTGCTATAGGCTTTTGCTAGATCCTTTCTTAGGTTAAGCACTGTTGGGTGCTGAATTTTATTCTTCTCCCCTTACATCTACTGAGATGAACATGTTTTTTTCCCTTTCATTTGTTTATACATGAATTACATTAATACATTTTNTTTTCTTAGGTTAAGCACTGTTGGGTGCTGAATTTTATTCTTCTCCCCCTACATCTACTGAGATGAACATACTGTTTTTTTCCCTTTCATTTGTTTATACATGAATTACATTAATACATTTTCTAATGTTAAATCATCTTTCCACTCCTTGGATGTAAGTCCTTCTTGGCCAGGATGTGTTTTTGTTCTGCTATCCTTGATGGATTTAGATTTGCTGTTATTTTATCTAGGGCTTTTATGTCTATGTTTAATAGTGAAATTGGCCTTTAGTTTCCCTTTCTCCTTCTGTCTTCGTCTAGTTGTGATATTTTGGTTGTTTTTATAGAATGAGTTTGGATTCTTCCTCCCACTTTCTATTTTCTGGAACTGTGTATAAAACAGGAATGGAAGGATTGGGAGAATGTCTCTATAAAACTGTCTTGCCTGGTGGGGCTTTTTGATGAATAGATTTAAAATGACTGTTTAAATTCCTTTATGTTACAGTTCTACATTTGACTTTGATTTTTTTCTTTCTTGACTAAGTTTCAGCAAGCTATATTTTTAGAGAACATTATACTTTTTCTAGAAAAACATCTGTATTTTAAACTTTTGGGTGGGTATATAAACATACTCCTTTATGGTTTAAAAAATCTACTGTATTTATATCCCCCTTTCCCCCCCTATGCTGTTTACTTGTGGCTTTCCTTTTTTTTTCTTACCCTGTCTTATCAAAAGTACATCTAGTTTATTATTCTTTTCAAAGAACTAGCTCTTGGTGTTTATTGTGTGTGGCAGGTACTATTTATTCTAGGCAGTAGGGTGGACAAAATGGGTAAAAATTTCTGCCTTCTCTGAAAGAATATTCTAATATGGGGAAATCAATATACAAAAACTTTAATAACAAACTAACACATTTTATAGTGTATTGGAAGGTAATGACTGCAATAGAAAGAAATAGACCAAGGTAAGAAAAATTGAGATAACTGGGGTGAGGAGTATAGGCAGGTTGCAATTTAAGTTGGATGGTTAGAAGAGAGAAGATGACATTTGACAAGCAATGACTTGAAGGAGGAAAAGAATTAGGCACGTGGATGGCTGGGGAGAGACGCTGTCTGGAGAGCAGCCAAGTGCAAAGGCCTAAAGTGGGAACCTGTCCAGAGGGAAGAAGAGCTAAGAGGACACAGAGGAAGCAACCATTAGATTAGCAAAAGGGTCCTGGAGGAGATGGTTTAGACCATTTAGGGCTTTAGTCCTTTATTAGAACTTGGGATTTTATTCTAAATGAAATGACTTGGAGGTTTTTGCACAGAGATATATAATTTGACTTACGTTTTAGGCTACTGTGTTGCAAATAGACTGAAGGGAGCCAAGGTGAAAAGCAGGAAAAGCAATTGTAGGCCATGGAGATAACAGCATATGGTAGTCTCTTCTTTACCCATGGTTTCACCTTCCGCGGTTTCAGTTACCTGCCATCAACCACTATCAGAAAATATTAAATGGAAAATTCCATAAATAAGTAACAGAAGTTTTTTGTTTTTTGTTTTTTAAATATATCTTTATTGATTTCAGAGAGAGGAAAGGAGAGGGATAGAGAGATAGAAACATCAATGAGGAGAGAGTCATTGATCGGCTGCAGCCCGCAACCTGGGCATGTGCCCTGACCGGGAATCGAACCCTGTCACCTGGCTCCTAGGTCGACGCTCAACCGCTGAGCCATGCCCGGCCGGGCTCACATAACTTTTATTACAGTATATTGCCATAATTGTTCTATTTTATTATTAGTTATTGTTGTTAGTCTCTTACTGTGCCTAATTTATAAGTTAAACTTTATCATAGGAATGTATACATAAGAAAAACATAGTATATAGTGGGTTTGGTACAGTTTGCAGTTTTAGGCATACACAGGGGATCTTGGAAGGAATCCCCCAGGGATAAGGGGGGACTTCTGTAGGTAGTGAGAATGGTCTAGTTCTGAGTATCTTGTCCTGAGGGGAGAGCCATTTGTAGGTGTGGTGTGAAGGGAAAGAGTCAAAGATGTCTCCAGAAAGTTTGGCCTGAGCAACTGCGTTGCTAACAATGTTATTTATATTTCAATGTTTTCTTTAATTCCAACTATATCCTTTATAGTTCTTTCCCTATATTTTATTTGGAGTTGTTGCATTGTTTTTCTTCAACTTTCTGAGTTACAACATTAATTTACCTAATCTATGTATTTCCCTTCATTCTCGTAGTATTTGCATTTGAGATTAAGCTTATCTCCCAATGCAGTTTTAGTTACTTTACTCAAGTTTTTGTATGCATTGGTTTTACTGTCATTTACTTTTTAATATTCTCTAGTCTCCATTGTGATTATTCTTTAACCCAAAAGGGGTTTTAAAATCTCCAACTGTATTTTAAAATAATTCAATTACATTTTATTTAGATAATGTCTGAATCATATCGATTCTTCATTGTTTGTGGGCCTTGCTTTGTGACATACGAAACTCATTTAAAGGGACTGTCAATTCTCTGGTGGAAGAAGTTTTTCCTATATGACCAACAGAGAAAATTTACTCATTTATGTGGTTCAAGTCTTATGCTCAAGCAGAGTCCTTTCACTTTTTCGTTCCAAAGCCAGAGGCTGGGGAAGGCAGACGTAGCCGTGCCAGGCATCTCTCTCGTGTGCTGCGGGAGCTCAGGTTGAAGGCTGAGGAGCAGGGGGGCTTCGTGCCAGGGTGTCCAGGAAGAGACATGCACGAGGGCTGGGGGGCCAGGTCTGGGGCTCAGATGCAGAGGTGGTGAAACCCCTGGTGTGCCTTAGTACTCTCTGAGGGTGTGGTTCCCACAGCCCGCTCATGGTACCACACCTCACTGCACCCAGATCCATGTGCTTCTCGGATATGTGCTCTCCAGTTACCTCTGAAGGCAGCTAACCACTCCAGAAAACTAAAATTGCTGTCTTCTTCATGAAGGGAGCTGCACAAACCAAAGTCTGTAGTCTGGACCTCTCTAATTCTGCAGATGGCTCTGTCCCGCGGCATAATGCGAGGTAGCCGCTGACAGCACCATGACGAGGGCCGGTGGCCTGGGTCAGCGTGTGCCTGCTGCTGCTGGTCTCTCCCTGCAAGCCACGCTGGGAGCCGGGTGCCACACCTCTTCGCCACAGAAGCAAATATGGGGAGGGATGTTGGCTTTTGAAGATGGGCCAGATGTTCAGCTGCCAGGAAAATAAAACGTTTCATGCAACCATTTTCAGTTCAGTATTTAAAAAGGCCTTTCAATGACCTTGACCATAACATATCCCATTTCAATGTATCTGTTGTGAGGTGCTGTGGAGTAGGTACAGCTTGTGAAGGTTCCTTTCTGACATCTGGCTGAGGCTAAGCAGCCATGCTGGGCACCGGAGGCTCCGGATTGCTCAGAAGGATGAGAAGCGATGAGGCTGGACTGGGGTGTAGAGACCAGAGTGAACCTCATCCCAGTGCAACTGCTTATTTTGTTGCTCAGGGTTTTTTGTTTAGTTTTTATAAATCTGTGTTACTTTGCTAGAGTTGACATAACAAAATGCCATAGACTGGACAGCCTAAACAACAGAAGCTTATTGTCACACTGTTCTGGAGGTTAGAAGTCTGAGATCAAGGTGGCAGCAGGGCTGGTTCCTTCTGGGGGCTGTGAGAGAAGGATCTCTCTCCTTGGCTTGTCTATGACCATCTGCTTCATGTGTCTTCTCATCTTTCTTTTGTGTTTGTGTCCATATTTCCTCTTCTTGTAAGAATGCCAGTCATATTGGATTAGGGCCCACTCTAATCACCTTTTTTTTTTTTTTTTAACATGTTTTTATTGATTTAAGAGAGAAAGGGAGAAAGAGACAGAGAGACAGAAACATCGATGGGAGAGGAACAGCGATTGGCTGCCTCCTGCGCACCCCTTACAAAGGACCAAGGCCAAAACCCTGGCATGTTCCCTGACCAGGAATCGAACCAGTGACTTTTTGGTGCATGGGTTGACCCTCAATCCACTGAGCCACACCAGCTGAGCTCTATGGCCTCTTTTTAATGTACTTACCTTTGTAAAGACCTACCTCCAAATACAGTCGTATTCCGAGGTGCTGGAGGTTAGGACTCCAGCATATGGGTTTATAGGGAGACTCAGTTTAGTCCGTAGCAGTACCCATTTCGCCATGGCCTTTCATCTTCTGTGGCTGAGCCACCTTCATACTCATCTCTGGCATTTTGTCTTTAGACGCAAAAAATATTCACAGATCCTGTTTTCAGAAATAATGCAGCTTTTCATAAATGAGTCTGCTTATATACAGAAATGTATATATATTATATAATTTATATGTAATCTAATATATATTTATATGAACGTATATATACATTGAGCTGACTTATAAGGCCTGCAAGTTCCTCTTTCTTTCTTCCTTCTAAGAACCGACGACCTCACCTTGGGACCGTTCTTGTCTTATTTTCCTTGTTTCCTCCAGGAGATACACCTCCTACCCAACAGCCGAAGTGCAAGGGCTTCCAGAATGCCAACCTCCTCCGTGGCACCAGTCTCAAAGTCCAGTTCCTCCTCTTCACCCCCTCGGACCCTAGCTGCGGGAAGCTAGTGGAAGAAAGTAGTGACCTTCAAAACTCTGGGTTCAATGTCACTCTGGGAACCAAACTAATTATCCATGGATTCAGGTGGGAGCTAACGGATCAGTAGGGTTGCCCGCGCTAAGAACTAGAAAGGGACCGTAGGAAGCTGGTGGGGAGTAAGAGGAGGCATGAATTTACTGACTGTCCCATGGCCCATCCCTCACCTCCTGCTGTCTGTAAAGGTGTCTCAGATCATGAAGGCACATCATGTTGCTGGTTCTTGTTGGTCACGCATGTTACTCCTCCCTCAGGCCTTGTCTACACACTCTCAGACAATAAATGTGTGTGATCTCGGACAAATTGGTCCGGCACAGGGAGCCTTGGTTTCCATGATGGAACAGCAGGGAGGTTGTAGAGATGATCTCGGTGGTCCATTCCTGCCTGAAGTGTGGTTGCATGATTCGCCTCAGCCAGTGAAGTCACAGGCTTTGCATCGTCACTTGGGGGTGACAGCCTGGTGTGGGCTTTTTTCAATCCAGAATTTTATTTTATTTCATCACTTCTTCCCTGGATTTATGACCTAAGAAAGTTGCACTTCTGGGTGCTACTTCTGTCATACCCAGAGGCTAGCATTTCTCAGGAGCTGGACACTTCTCTTCTTCAATTTCTTTGATGTCCTACAGTCTAAATTTTGTTGTGCTATATAGTCCCTGGGTCTTAATTTAATTCCCATTCTTCCTTTCAGTATCTTCTCTCCAAAGCCCACTGGCAAGTCAAGAAACAGGTTGCTGGGGGCAGAGAGGGAGAGAGTGCGGTGAAATAGCACTATTGAGCAGCTAGGGTTGGGGGCACCCGATGAAGGAGTGGACACAGAGGCACTGTACAAAGGATCACCATTTCCCCAGCTCTGGGTTCTCTCTGCTGCTCAAACCCCTAGACCCTAGGGACCCAGCCACACCCTTCCTTAAATGTCCATCCCTCCTCACTTTTGTGCCAAAGTCTCTCCCCTAGCAAATCTTACATTTAGCCACTATCCAAGGCTGAGTACACGTGTGCCCTCAACCCAGGGATAGCTAATAGAGCTGGAAAGCTCACCAGGCTGTCCCCTTGAGCAGGCTCTGATTGTTCCAGTACTGTGGGCCATTGAGAAAATTTCTTTCCTGATTCCAATCGCTTGGGAAGAAAGCTTTCTGAAATTTTAAGAAATTATTCTCTTTTCTTCTAGAAAAGTGCTACTATACTGTAAGTTCCAGAGTGACAGGCACTATATTTTACTTTTTAAGTTTCTTGCAAAGCACATAGCATACTGCCTGGCTTCTTTGTTGAAGGAATAAATGAACAGATAAATAAAAACATCCTCGAGAAGAGGTCTATATTCTAGAATGAGAATTAAGATGGCAAATCTTAACTCTAATGTGCAAAGCTTTTCTTTCCCATGAGTTACACAGACAGGACCAGTGTGTATGGTTTGTGTAATTTATGCCTCACACAAAGGGCTGGGGGCTGGTGGGGCTGAAATGGAGCCTGAGTTCTGAGCCCTAGCACAGAGCCCCATCTACCCGAACAAGAGGCACCCTGTCATAATTCACACAAAGGCTCCATATGTGCAGACAGAAGCCCTGGACACTTTGGGACCGTGTCCTCCCTGTGTTCAAAGTGCTGTGATTTACTGCCCATGTGTCCCCCTTCCCTAGTTTTGACTTTTTTTTCTGGGTTTATTTTGTTAACAGAGACTTCCATGACAATTGTGCAGTTTCCATCAATTAGGCAGATAATTTTTCTATCCTTTCTTGGCTCCGTGACTAGGGTTTTAGGAACAAAGCCTTCCTGGGTTGAGAAGCTCATCGCTGCCCTTCTGAGGGCAGCAGACGCTAACGTGATTGCCGTGGATTGGGTGTACGGCTCCACAGCCATCTACTCCTCAGCCGTGGAAAATGTGGTCGAGCTGGCACTACATATCTCCCGTTTCCTCAGTGAGCTCCTGGTAGGTGCCCAAGAGCCTGGGGGTTTTGGCTGCTTACAGAGGGGAGAGGGGTTAGAAGGAGAGAGCACCGCACTAGGAAGAGCTTTAGGGTGGCAGCAGAGCCACCCAGCCTCCTCTCTCCTCCTGTCCTCCTCTGTGGATTGGGCCCCTGCATGTCAGGGAGGAAGAGCCAGTGGCCAGTGGCCAGTGGCCAGTGGCCAGCTTTAGGCATCTCTCAGAGAGAGTGGCTGTGGGGACCAAAGGGAAAGTGGGGGGAGTGCCAAGGTGGGGGGCCTAGCAAGAGGGCAAGGGCTTACTGGGATGAGAATTCTGCCCTCCCCAAACCCTTCACCCCCCGACCTAAGCATGAGTGGCACGTGTCCGGCCCAGAGCCCTCTGCTGCTAAAGCCTCAGGGAAAAGTGTGACCCTGCAAGGCCAGGAGCTGCTGGGACCCAAATGCAATCCACTGTAAACGTCTGTTGCAGTTGCTGGGTGTGTCGAAGTCCTCCATCCACATCATTGGTGTGAGCCTGGGGGCCCACGTTGGGGGCATGGTGGGACATTTCTACAAAGGCCAGTTGGGATGGATCACAGGTAACATTCTTCCCCACCCACCCTTCCAGGTTTAGAGAAAAATAGAGAGAACGCCTTGGAGATGCCTTTGCTGAGGCGCACAGAGGGGAGCGTCGAACTTTTTGGTGTTGTGATCAAGTCATCTATGGCTACTGCAATTTGTTTATTATGGCCCTTTTGCGTAAAATAGTATTGTGTTATTGCATGAGCTCTAATGGCAGTGTCAGAAGCCATGAAGTTCTTTCTAAGCCTCAGTTTCTACATCTGTAGTGTAAAAAAAACAAAACAAATGGAGCCACTTTAAAATGGAGTCAGAACTGTCATCCCAGAAGAACTGCCTTGTACATCTTATGCCTAAAAGCTATGAAATGTTAAAATAGGGCAAAATAACCTTTGGACTGGGCCTAAAGTGACATTGTGTCCCAAAGACCTGTTTGCAAGGATAATAGGAAAGCAGATATTACAACTGCCAGGCTGATGACTACCAGCCTGAAAATTAAAAATATTGTTTAGAATTGGTGCCACGACGTTAGCTTATCTGCATCAATAGAAGTGCCTTCCTTTCATTGATGTAATGGTTCCCCTTCCCTTTCTCATAAATGTCCCTTCCCTCCTAAATGGAACATTATTTAGGTTTCTGACTGTCAGTGATTCTGAATAGCTATTTTTTTTTTTTTAAATCTCAATTAGATGCTTGGTGTTGCTCACTTTGAAAGACCTTTTATTTTTAGGTTAATAGTAAGATGGGTTGTACCAGCTCGTATCTTCTTAGCCCACTGTGGAAATCACCTTTAAATGGTATGCTAAATACTTGCAAAAGTACAGTATGTTTTATGCTTCAGGAGCTACTCTTGATCAGTCAGATTCTAAAGTTGTGTGGCAATTACTGTCCAATGGAATGACTCTCAGTCATGTTCTAAGAGTCCCTCAGAGGAGCCCCAGTGGGAAGAGACCTACTTGCTCAAAGTGATACTCCATTCATTACAAAGTCCTTCCTTCTATGACTTGATTTCCCACTCCCTCATTATGCTTTCTGTGATCTTCCAGATAAGCTACTTGCATTTTGAATCTTTACCTCAGGGTCTACTCTTTGGGAGAGAGAGGGCAAGGGGTCCCAACTAAGATGTGGGATAGTAATATTTCCTTCATTGTATTCTTGCGAGGACAAGAGTGTGTAAAACTGCCCAGCACATGGCCTGGCACATAGTAACTGCTCAAAAAAGTATAGCTATTGTTATTACTCCATGAGGATTAATATCACTCACATGAACCCTTACCAAATGGTTGGTATTATCAAGCTCACTGTAGAACCAGAGAACCTGGGCCACTGGGAGATTAGAGACAGTAGAGCAGGAGTTCCTGGGTATGGGGGTTCTGAGTCCGTTCTCTACCCTTGGGTCCTTGCTGAGGGACTCTGAACCGAAAGGGCTGAGAAGGTAGTTGTGTGGTGGATCTGGGAGGGTTCCTGTGGCTGAAAAGAAAGGGGGCCTTGACATCCGTCTATCCTTGCAGGCCTGGACCCTGCTGGACCAGAGTACACCAGAGCCAGCCTGGAGGATCGCCTGGACCCTGGAGACGCCCTCTTCGTGGAAGCCATCCACACAGACACCGACAGTGAGATGGGACAACCTTCCTGGAGTGGGGGAATGAGCCTAGGGCAGGGTCTAAGGGACTGCCATGTCACTGTGTGGCCCTGGGCAGACTTCCTCCCCCCAGCCTCTGTTGCACAGTGAGGCCTTCCCCAACATCCTGCAGCTCTGTCATATTTTTAGCACTAAGATGAATGGTTCTATTTTTAGCAGCAGCAGGCTGGAGATTTCTCATTTGTGGACCAGTCTCACTCTCTGATTCAACGCTAACCCAGTGCTGAGGCAGTGCCAGGGTGGGCCCTGCTGCCTGGCTGACATACGGGAAAGCTGTGCTGCTTTTTCAGGGGCACTGTGCCTGGCCTCGGGGAAATGAGACGTTCTACTCCAGGGGCAGATTCTCAGTCCCCTCAGGGATGAGCTCAGTTCTCCAGTCCAGTGAAGATTGAAAATTCCCCTCTCCAGTAGTGACAGGCCCAGGAAAGACCCCCGACTCCGAATCTACTCTGACCAAATTAAGCTCTTCAGGAGAGGGGGTGGACATTCCTCCTCATTTTTACACCCTCTCAAGTGTCCATTAGTATGCGACAGGCCCTGTGCTCAGTGTGGTGGGTAAGGGAAGAAATAGCATGTGTCTCAAATAAAAGTGTGTGCAGTTCAAGTGAGAGGTGTCCACATCTCATTCCCTTTGCTCAGAAGCCTTCTTTTAGCATCTAAGACTCACAGATTGATGATTCTAGAAGAAACCCATGCAATCATATGGTTCAAACCTCTCCTCCCTTTACCTCACAGATAGAAAACCAAAGCCCATAGGCCTGTGCCTACCTGCTGATTAGCCTCCTTTGTCCCTAAATTTGCTAAATAGGTAATGTATTAGGTCCTTATTTATCTAAGCGAGGCCTCTCGGTGCCCTTCAAAGTTGGAGCCTCTTCTTAACGTGACCAAAGGAAAATTGAACCACATCATCTCAGTCTTTATTGAGCCATGTAGTGGACACTGAGAGCACTGCAGTGAACAGACATGAGCAAGGCCCCCGCCCACATGGAACTTACAGGCAAACCGCACAAACGTTCATTCATTTATTCCTTCAGTAAGCATTTATTAGGCACTCACATCTGCCAGGCACTGTGCTGGATTGGGTAAATAGCAGAAAAAAGACAGGTAAAGGCCCTCCTCTTGTGGAGCTTATATACAAGTAAACAGGCAAGATTATTGTGGTTATGATAAGGAAGGCTATGAGATAGAGGGTGACTAGGGTAGGACGTCTACTTTAAGTAGAATTACTGAGGAAAGTCTATCCAAAGACATGATATTTGAGGTGAGACTTTGCAGATGTGAATAAGTCAACCCTGAGAAAGCTGGGAGAAGAACAATCTAGGCAGAGAAGACAGCCAGAATGAAAGCCTGGGTGTGGGTGGGAACAGGGTGAGGCACTGAGTGAGGTTGGAGGAGAGGGAGCAGAACCAGTTGGCCATGGCAAGGAGTTTGAATTTTATTATACAATAGTGAGAATAGGGTGGTGATGTAGATATCCTTAAAAGATTACTGTGGCCCTAGCCGGTTTTGCTCAGCAGTTAGAGTGTCGGCCCTCGGACTGAAGGGTCTCGGTTCGATTCCCGGACAAGGGCACATACCTTGGTTGCAGGCTCAGTCCTGGCCCCAGTCGGGGCATGTGCAGGAGGCAACCAATCAATGTGTCTTTCACGTCGATGTGTCTCTCTCTCTATCTCTCCCCCTCCCTTACACTCTCTAAAAAAATCAATGGAAAAAATATCTTCTAGTGAGGATTAACAAAAAATAAAAAAATAAAAGAGTACTGTGGCTGCAATGCAGAGAATGGACTTGCAGAAGGACACTAAGGGAGGCACTGGAGAGGATGTTTGCAGTAAGAAGGGAGAGGTGATGGTGAGAGATGATGGTGGCTTGGGCAAGTGTGGCGGCAGCAGAGACAAAGAGAAATAGAAAGATTCAAAATATATTTTTGAGGTAGAGCTGACTAGATAGGTGATGGGCTAAATGTAGCGAGCGAGAGAAAAAGAGGAATCGAGGATAACTTCTAGGTCATTGCTTAATCCCTGGATGGATGGCAGTAAACAAATGATACACAATCAATTGCTTACAATAATGATAGATGATATGAAGGAGAAAATCAGTGTCTTTGGAAGCTGGATCTGACGCAGTCTGAGGGGTCAGATATAGTCATGGTGATGAACTGAGGTCTACAATCTCTCAAACTCATCTCTTTGTAGCCAGGCCATATTTCTGTTCTGTCAGGAGAGCACAAAAATATGTAGGAGAATGTGGAGATGTGGCCCCAAACATATGTATCTGAACTATTGCTTGAAGCAAAATAGAAACTATTCCACAAGGAAACTTACCAAGCTTATAACATTTACTGATTTATTAAAACTTATGTTAAGGGATATTTTTCTTGTTTTTTATTAGACAAATATGAACATCTTATGAATTTATTCTGTTTCCTTTCAGCAAACCCTCTTTAGGAAACTAAGAACTAGTTCTGCATTCTCACAGCATGTAAGCAGTGAGGTACTCATTCAGCACAGAGAGTGGGTAGGCTTGTAAGGTCACGCCTCAGGCTCTGCTGCCAGTGGACTCTGCTGTGGGACTTGGATAAGATGCCCCTGCATAAGAAGGTAACAGAGTTCTGCTTCTTTTCAGATTGGGGTATTCGGATTCCTGTTGGACATGTGGACTACTTCGTCAACGGAGGTCAAGACCAACCTGGGTGTCCCACCTTCTTTCATGGAGGTTAGAAAGCCACAGACAGTTGGTTCTTGGCTTCCCCAGAGACCAGAATTCCCCAACAACCTTTGTGTTGAGTCAGCTAGTGTGGGCCACAGAATGTCTTCCTTCCAGTGCCCTTTACTATGTGCCATAGTGCCTTACTCAGCACTTATGAATGGATGTCTTTGGAGCCCAGGAATTCTGGAGGAGAAGTGACTAAAACTGAAAGCCTGCACCATCCATGCTTTGCCTGCCCTGCTTCTTAGGCCCTGCCATGATACAACATCACTTGAGGCAATAATGTCTGTTTTTCTTGGGCCCTGCTTTGTGGCATAGTTCACACTAGCTACATCCTCTGCAGAGCCTAGTTGTGGCAGAAATAGACCAACATGCCCAAAGCTAGGTAGCCACAGGATCAATTCACTGCATGACCATATCCCCAAACTCACTAAATTTAACAACCCTCCAACACTCTTTTCAAGATAATCTTCTTGAGTATATTCAATAAATATACATTTCTTCTCTTTTAAGTATATTTTTCTGAATGTTCTTTTTGAATATATACATATTCATTGAATATATTCTTAGCATCATTTTAAAAACATTAAGTCAAAAGTTAAGTATTAAGTATTGTTTAGTCTTCCTGTATTCTTCTTATGAATATAACCAAACTTTTATCCTGATTTCTGTTGACTGTCTATTTAGTCTCTTCCTGTTTTACCAAATTTTTGACATTTTAAGGATTACTTTTGACAATTATATTGAATGACCACTAATCAAATTTACTGATTTTTCCAAAAACATATTCCTTTTAACAACTTATAGGGTTTCCAGCAATTTTGGTCAGATGAGATAGTGCGGTTTTAATGGTTTTTGAAAATATCTGTGGCGTGTAGTTGGCTACTTCTTATTTTTTCTTCATAACACAATTTGAGAAGGGTTTAGTTTGTCCCTCCCAGTTCCCTGTTGCAGCTAGAAGGAGCTTGGCCATAGAGTATCCCAACCATGGGGGAAAAGGAAAATCAACACACAGCTCAGACATGGTTGCTGATTTCAGGGTTGGGGGGGGGGTGTCCCAAGGGGAAGGGAGAGTTTGAAGATGCCAGAACTCTGGAGCTGTGGCTCACTACAGACCTCTTAGCCCCAGACAATTCATCCAATGTGAGTTACCACAAAACTATAAATAATAAACAAAAACAATAACAAGAAAACCAAGTTTTTGTTACATTGGGACATTTGACAGATTGAGCATATCAGTCGGTTGGCCAGGTGAACCCCAGCACATTGGCTTTCAGAAGTTGGCTGTGAACTGTTTGCTGCTGATTCCTTTGACTGTCTCATTGCTGGGTTGGGTTTAATGAGACTAAAAAATTTTTTTGTAAAATATTGGTTTTGTGAGTGATGATGAAGAAGGTAAAATGTGCAGACAGATACTCATTTTGAGAAGTGGGGTCGGAATTGCCAGGTCTGTATGCTCTCATGGAAGACTGGGTCTCAAAGTCAACAATTTTCTTCATAGATTACACATAGGTATCTTTGGGAAATTAAAATGAAGAGAAAGAATGCAGTAACCATTTCTATTCATATTCTTTAAATGTGGCTCAGGGAATATCCCATGTACCTACAGCCTGCTGGAATAGAAAATTCAATAGAGTTACAGTAAGTAGCATTAAGGGGTTTCCCTTTGCCTTGAACTGAAACTGTGGTTGTGTTTCTTCCCCCTGTTCAGGCTACAGTTATCTGATCTGTGATCACATGAGGGCTGTGTACCTCTACATCAGCGCCCTGGAGAACCTCTGTCCTTTGATGGCCTTTCCCTGTGCCAGCTACAAGGCCTTCCTTGCCGGACACTGTCTGGATTGTTTTAACCCTTTTCTGCTTTCCTGTCCAAGGATAGGTAAATGCTACCCCTTTGCTTGCTAGTTGTCACTTCTTTGCAAGAAATCTACCCAACTGGGATAAAGAAAATTGAACAGATGAGGTGTTCTGCCTCTTGGAACCTGGAGGATGGCGTTCAGCCCTCTGTGTCCCAGCCCTCACTCTCGATACTGTTGCCTGATGCCATACTTACCCTGCACACACCCTTCACACACATGGCCCATCCTCTGCAGGTCCAGGCTCAGTGCACTCTCTAGAAACATTGCTACAGTCCAGAGCCCCTGACCCCACTTGCAAACTGGATGCTTGGCATAGGTCTTTTTAGCTGGGCCAGCCATTCTTGAACTCTTGATAGTCCCTAAATCAAGGTTGTGGGGAAGTCCCCAAGAATTTAAAGGTATGAGGCTGTGGTGGCCATGTGCCACCTGGAGGGATGCCTAATTGCTGGTTGGCTCAGGCAGGTTCCTGGGTGATCCAGCCCAGTCTGAAGAGAAGGACTCAGGGAAGGCTGAGGGATCTGGTGTCAACTCGCCTGTGAAGATTATTGCTGGGAACATCCTGGGGTTATCGAGGTTGAAGGGCCCCAGGAAAAACTCTGGGAAGTGTAAATGGTTCTTTCCTCCCTCTCTCTCTCCCACTTCCCACCCCTGGCTGCCACTCAGAGCTACAGCAGCCAGTCATCCAGGGTTGAGGAACCTTTTTCCTGCCAAGGGCCATTTGGATATTTATAGCATCATTCACTGGCCATACAAAATGATCAACTTAAAATTAGCTATGAAAAAAGCTCCTAGATTTATTGAATTTTGAGTCCCGCCTGTGGTTGCCTTGGCAGGGCCAGGCCTATATGGCCCGCGGGCCAGATGTTCTCCACCCCTGGTACATGAATGAAAGGGACTTCAGCTTGACAACATGGTAAAGCAAGGCTAGCTTTCCACAATAAAGCAAATCAACATCACTTCCTACCCTGGTATATGTCTTGATTTCCCCCAGATGTGACAGACTGGCAGGTGTAACATCAACTTTACACAGTGTCCAGCCTCATCTTTCATTACACTTTCACTGGCACCAAACACCCTGAGACTGCTCACTACTGTACTCCCGAGAGTACTGCATGTGTCCTTACTTTTTGTGCCTTTGCCCAAACTGTACTCTCTGCCCAGAATGCCCTCCCCAACTTGTCAACCACTATTCAGGTCAAACACTTCCTCTGTTCCTACTACGCAGGAGATAAATGCCATTAAACAACTGTCATGTACATTGTTTTGCAAGTTGGAGACGTAATTTCAAATTTCTTAGAAATACCTCCTGAGAATGGGCCAGGTGATCTAAAGAATGTACTTCCTGTTTACTTGTGTGTTTATCCCCAGCTGGACTGAGTGCACGTATCCTGGGACTCACCATAGGGCATGGCATGTAATGAGCATGCACTGAGGTGGTTTGTAGGATGAATGGGTGCATGAATTAATCAACATATGGCTGGGTGCCTTGGACCCTGAAGCGGCCGCCTCAGGATTCTGCTGTCTTTGCTTCTTGACTTCCAGGGCTGGTGGAACAAGGTGGTGTCAAGATAGAGCCACTTCCCAAGGAAGTGAGAGTCTACCTCCAGACCACTTCCAGGGCTCCATACTGTGGTGAGTTGGGGGGGAAAAATGCATGGCTCAGCTCTGCCAGTGTGCTGTCCAGCAGAGTCCAGGGCTCTGGCTTGGGCTGTGTCCAGCCCGGCATGGTAGCCAAGATGGGAGGTGAAGAACTGGAGCAAAGATGTCATGGGAGGGGTGGGAATAGCTGCTATGTTCTCAGATAGAACCAGAACTTTCAGAGGTAGTTCAACCCATTACTCTACTAAGGATGTGAGGACTTGGGAGCAACTTTCTGTTTATATACTGATCTTAGTTCCTCCCCACCCCCTGCAGAAATCTGCCCTCCAGCATAGGCTCTCTCTAGAGCAGTATTTGGGTGTGTGCCTGGCTTCCTCCTTCCTGCATACTTTTTAATGCCCTCCTCGGTGCCCATCCTATGTGTCTCCCACCCTGGCAACCCTCCTAGGTCAGGGCCCCTGAGGAATACAGAGCCTCACTCTCTGCCTTCCTTCCCCTTCACATATTCCAACTGTTCACCATTGCTTCTAACCACTGCATTTCATTGAAGCTAAGGTGCCAGTGATTATAAAGATGTTAAATGTGAGAGAAAAGTGTGTCTTAGAATCTATGAACTCCATTACAAGCTGAACCATCCATCATCTTTCCCTATGCGATTTGCATCTTAATTAGGGTGACTCTGCTTCCCGGTTTAGGCTTGCTATCCTGGGATCCTGTGTGGTTTATTGCGTACACAGAACAGAAGTATGCAGGTTAGGATGATAAATTACATGGCCATGCTAATTCTAACTGACTTTCTCATCAACTTGTGTCTGGTTGCTGGAGGGATCTTTGTGGCCATACCTGCCTGGTACTAGAAGGCCTGGTGCAGTGTGACAGGGAGCCGAAAGCTCTGACTCTATGGTCACGAAGATCAGGATTTGAATCTTGGCTTCACCGCTCACCAGCTGTGTGATCCGGAGGAAGTTACTTAACCTTTCTGAACTTCTATATCCTTATATAGAAAATGGGAACAATAATAGTACCTACTTCGAAGAACCAATCGCGCAGATAAAATAAAATAGTACACAGGAAGTCACTAGCACAGTGACTGGACCCCAATAATTAATAACTTCCTTCCCTTTATCAATCAGAGAATTTGGGAAACTAGATGCAGGTGTTTCCAACTCCATGCCAGAGAGAATTCATGGCTACCTCTTAGGAGCAAAGTGGGTTACAAGAGTTAACTGTGGGCTTTTCACATGTATCAGCTCCCTTGATAACCCAACTCAGAGAGGTGGGTGTGAGGAAAACGAGGCCTGAGAGACGGAGCAATGTGCCCAAGGCCACACAGCTGGGGGAAAGAGTCAGGATTCAACTCCAGGCCTTCTGACTCCAAAATCTATATGCTTCCCGTGCCACCACCTGCCTCCACACTCGCTTCTTTGCTCCCCTCCTGAGAACCTGCTCTTTGCAGCCGTGTTTCTTGGTTGCTCATCTGTCCTCACGGCCCCTTGGAGGTGAGCCTGTAGGAGGGTGCTCTGTCCAGTGGTGAGGCAGTGCTGCGGGGGGCAGGCGCCCAGTTCTAGTTCCAGTTCCCACGCAGCTTCTGGGAAACCTGAACTGGCTCCTCCCTGTCTGCGCAGCTAGGAATACGCGCCACAGGGAGCCTGGGGAGCACGTGGAGATTACAAGCCTTTAAGGTCCCTACTGACGCAGATTCATGTAGCCATAATTTTTCTGTTTTATATTTGTTGTGCGATCCCCTCCCAATGCCCCCAGAAGCATGGGCCTGTCTATCCAAAAGAGACAAGCGAGCCTGCACACCTGCTTGCCTGCGTGTTTTGAGGCTTCTGCTCTGAGCGTCCAGGCTGGGGCCTTCGTGCCCCGGGGGTAGAGCTTTCCACCTGGCAGTTCAGGTGGTGCTGGCAGCTGGCAGATCTACCTGGTAGTTCAGGTGGTGCCCCCAGCTCCCTGTTTGCGCCCACTCCCAGGCCATCATGGCCCTGGGCTGAGCCTCAGCAGTGCTAACCAGGACAGAGGTCACCCTGTACCCCTGCCAGGCTAGCACTGGCAGGGCAGAGAATCTCCTCCAAATATTTCACACAAAGTGCTTTTTTAAAAATCACCTCATTTAATTCTCACCATGTTCTCTGAGGTGATGCCCAGGTTATTGTTTACAGATGAAGGGACTGAGGCACAGAGAGGTTCAGTGACTTAAACAAGGCAACACAGTGAGTAAGCAGCAAGGCTGGACCAAACATCCAGGGCTCTGTGTGCTGCTTCCCATGTCACGCTCCTGTGCAAATTGGTTCCCACCGACCCAGTGTTAGCAGACCTGCTCCTCCTGGGACTTCCATATAACTTAGAGAAGGAAGAAACAGAACCTTAGGAAACTTTCTTGATCAAAGATAACATTTGGCAAAGAAGAAGTGATATAATATAGCAAACTCAGCCCAGAGAGTTAAATTCCTAAAGCTTATGTAAACTAGCTTTTATTTTTCACATTGCAATTTTCCACTTCAGTTCAACTTTCTCCGTCACTGTAAGTCTACACCCCACTGTAAACAAATGAGAAAGAGAGATGGAAGGGGTGTGGCCCTGTCCTGGGTGGGGGTGGGGGACATGTAGTGCTCTCTTTTCTTCTGGTGAATTCTTGGCATCTGTCCTGGGCCCTGTTACTAACCCATGAGCCCAGAGGGACCACAGGTAAGGGAAAGGTGAAGGGTGGCTTTTCCAGCTATGTCCCCATCACCAAAGGAGTTTGTGAAAATGCTCCAAGACCAAAGTCACTGTGAAATGCCACCAGATGGGCCTACCCCTTAATAAAGAAAGGACTGCACTCCTTAACCTCTCTTTCCACTGGGACAGCAGGCTCCAGGGGTATCACCGTGAGCCAAGCTGCTCACCCACTCAGTGCCGAGGACACCAGCTTTGAGACCCCCAGTATCCATGCTGCCAGGGAGGGTGGAGATGCCACATAGGCACCCATCTGCCACAGGGAGGGAAACAGTCACCTCCTGCATTCAAGTGTGTTCCCCAACACTGCGTATGCTGGGGTGGGGGAGGGGCGTGAGGTTGCACAGCTACTAAGAGATAGAGCCAAGATTCCTAGTGGCACGGCTATATTTTGTGATTTAATTATTTAATATAAGAGACATCTTTTTTGGTTCTTTCAAAACCACACTACAAAGATAATGGAGTGAGACAATCTAGCATTACAAGTAATAATAAAAACTCACATGGATTGAATGCTTCTTAGGCACAGGCACTGTCTACGGAATTTATATGTAGTAACTCATTTAATTCTCATTGAGACCTGTGGGGTATCTATTTTTATTTTCCTCAATTTACACTTGAAGAAGCTGAGGATCTGCAGTGACAGGTAATCTGCTCCAGGTTACACAGCTACTAAGAGGTAGAGCCAAGACTCCTAGTGGCATTACTGCACCCTCTGGGGCTTTGGGGCACTGCACCGCCAACCTCTGGCTCAGTTGTCTGCTCTGCTTTGGTTTCCCAGTGCATCACAGCCTTGTGGAGTTTTACTTGCAGGAGCCAAGAAACAAGGACACCAACATCGAGGTCACCTTCTTTAGCAGCAATGCCACCTCCTCAGTCAAGATCACTATGTAAGTAAGTGTCCCTCACAGCTGTCTTCTCTCCTTTAGGACTTACTTTTATTTTACACACACACACACACACACACACACACACACACACACACGCATATCCCAGGACAGGCACTGGGTCATCATCAACGAGTGACCCGAGCTCAGTGGGCTGGGGCTGGGAGTGAGGGCAGAATCTGCCACAGACGTACCCACAGACCCATACTGGCAAACTGTCTCAGGTTCAAGGTCAGTGTTGGGTCCAAGCATAGTGTATTCAGACAAGAGCAGATGAGGCAGGCAGGCAGCAGTGATAGGGTGTCCCAACAGGTGGTGAAAACATAGAAACTGTGCCCCTGATAGGAAATAGTGTTCAGGAATCTAGGAGGGGGGCATAGGGACGTCATCAAGTAGGAGGCTCTCAGTCACTGGCCTAGAAAAGGCTTGGCAGAGCCCGGGAAGCACCCACTCCAGGGTAGGGGAGCAGGACTGGGTGAGTTAACACAGCAGAAGTGCAGGCAGGGTGTCAGGTAGCAAATGAGTGCAAGGGGAGGGCAAGCAGGCTTGACGCTGGGTGGTGCCAGTTCCTGGAACTGGGCCTGTGTTTTCCTTCCCTTGTTACATTGGGCCTAGCAGCTGGTTGAGACCAGGCTCGCGATGGGAGGGCAGAGGACCTCAACTGCAAGCCATCACAGCCAAGCAGGAGAAAGGAACTCAGCGGTGCATGATTCTTCAAAAAGCACTTGGTTAAGTTACAAACCCATAGGACACACACTGTTCAGATAAGTCAACATCTTAGCCAGGTCCAGTCTGGAAACCAGAGCCCAAGCCAGGTAGTCCAATAGAAGGAATTTAACTCAGGGAACTAATTACAAATGTGTTGGGAGAGCTGAAAACCCAAAAGGACAGGGAGGCAGTGCAGAAGTCAGCCACAGGGGGAACCACTCCCACCCTGGGGCTAGAGGGACAAAGCCAGGGTGGCACTGGCAAAGCACAGAACAGAGCGAGATTCTCCCTGGAACCTGCTGGCAGAGGAGCCTGAGGGAAATATGGTTTGCAGGAGCATGGAGGGAACACAAACAGGAAAATGACCAGTGTGCACACACAGAAGTGCACAACTGTCAACAGTAGCAAGTGCTACTCAAAAATGTAAGGTGGCGCCTGACTGAGTGCGAGAAAATGATATTTGAGTAATGATTTAAGGATTCTCAGGAGTTGCCCAAATCAGGGCTTAGTGAGAATATGGCACTGGGAGGGGACAGCAGGAGGTTGAGGCCCCAAAAGGGGAGGCTGGAGGGACAAGTCAGGGCCACAACAAGCAAGGCCTTGAAGGACAGGTTAGAGATTTATTTTTTCCTTTTTTTTTATTGTTCAAAATATTACAGATGTGGCTTTTTCTCCCCATTGATCCGGTCCCTCTCCTCATCATTGTCTGTGTTCTTGGGTTGTGCATATATGCATATAAGTTCTTTGGTTACTCTCTCCCCCTCCACCCACCTGCCCCCTTCCATCCCTCTGAGATTCGTCAGTCTGACCCATGCTTCCACGTCATTGAGTCATTTCTGTCCATCAGTTTATTAAGTTCTTTAGATCCCACATATAAGTGAGATCATGTGATATTTGTCTTTCTCTGCCTGGCTTATTTAGCTTAGCATAATATTCTCCAGGTCCATCCATACTGTCCCAAATGGTACGAGATCCTTCTTTACAGCTGCATAGTATTCCATGTGTGTGAATGTCTCACAGCTTTTTCATCCACTCATCTACTGATGGGCACTTGGGCTATTTCCAAATCTTAGCTATTGTAAATTGCGATGCTATGAACATAGGGGTGCATATATTCGTCCTGATTAGTGTTTCAGGATTCTTAGGATATATTCCTAGAAGTGGGATCACTGGGTCAAAAGGCAGTTCCATTTTTAATTTTTTGAGGAACCTCCATACTGTTTTCCACAGTGGCTGTGCCAGTCTGCATTCCCACCAGCAGTGTACAGGGTTCCCTTTCTCCACACCCTCGTCAGCACATGTTGTTTGTTGATTTGTTGATGGAACCATTCTGACAGGTGTGAAGTGATACCTCATTGTGGTTTTAATTTGCATCTCTGATGATTAGAGACGTTAAGCATTTTCTCATATGTCTCTTGGTCATCTGTATGTCCTCTTTGGAGAAGTGTCTATTTAGGTCCTTTGCCTATTTTTTAATTGGATCGTTTGTTTTCCTCTTGTTGAGTTGTATGAGTTCTTTGTACACTTTTGGAGATTAGCCCCTTATCAAAGACATTCTTGGCAAATATGCTCTCCCATACCATGGGTTTCCTTTGTATTTTGAGGCTGCTTTCTTTTGCTGTGCAGAAGCCTTTTAGTTTGATGTAGCTTAGAGATTTTGGTTTTTATCCTGATAGCAGTTTGGGGAGTCACTGGGAATTTTATTTTATTTTTATTTATTTTTTAAAATATATCTTTATTGATTTCAGAGAAAGGAAAGGAGAGGGAGAGAGAGAGATAGAAACATCAGTGATGAGAGTCATTGATCGAGCCCGCAACCCGGGCATGTGCCCTGACTGGGAATCGAACCCCAATCGCCTGGATCCTAGGTCGATGCTCAACCGTTGAGTCACTCCCGGCCGGGCCCACTGGGAATTTTAAACAAGAGTGTGACTGGATCAGATTTGTGTTTGGAAACATTTCTCAGGCTGCAGGGCTGCACATTAACTGTGCTATCAGGGAAAGCAAATTTCTGCTGGAGGCTCCCAAACACTAGGCCACCAGCCAGGGTTCCAGCTCACCAAGGCCACGCAGAGAACATGGCAGGCAGTCAGGACCCTAACCAGATCTTCAGGTGCCTACCTGAGCCCTGTATATTGTAGCTAAATAATTTTCTTCTTTACATCACTTCAAGGGTGTGTTTCTCGTAGAAGGGTGTTTTTTCACCTCTCCAGGCCATTAGATGAGCCTACACTGTCAGGAGTCATGACAGAGACACACAACTCTGGCTGCACATTAGAATCGCCTGGAGAGCTATGAAAAATACTGCCAGCGAGACACACCTCAGACCAATCATAACAGAATCTCTGAGCATCACCTCAACAGCTATACTTTTTAAAAATAACTTAATTTTTCAATTACAGTTGCCATACAATATTATATTAGTTTCAAGTGTGTAACCCAGTGATTTGACATTTATATAACTTACAAAGTGATTACCCCAATAAATCTAGTACCCATATCACACCACACATAGGTATTACAGTATTATTGACTACATTCCAACAGCTATACTTTTAAAGGCTCCCTGAATAATTCGAATGGACATCCACAGATTCCTTTTTCCTCTCTCAAGAGACTGGTGTTACTTTTTTGAAGAAGGTTCTCAGAACACAATTACCTTCAATTCCTTGGGTTTCTTTTTTCTCTTGAGGAACAGAAATTGAAAAAAGGGGGATGGAAGGGGGTTTGTGGGTGGTCTTTCCCTTACTTTCCATAACTTTGTGAAACCCCCAAATTTCCTTTTAATTAGAAAATTTTCCCTGGGGCCAAGTCCCCAGGCTACTCAAAGTGTACTTCATAATCCTAATTTGCAAGCTCCTCCATCTAAGCAGCTTCTTAGTGAACAATTTTCCTATCCTGAAGTGTATCAAAACACTTCCGACATGTAAAATAAAAGGAACAGCTTTTATACAAAGTTATACAGGTTCTTCCTCAAAAGGAAAAATCAAACTAAATGACTAACCCTGGGTTAAAATGTACATGAAGGAAACATTTCATCACTGTAGAGGCAGGAAACGAAAATGAAACCAAGCTGGCTGAGCCATGCCCAGCCCCACTCACCTTCTGCCTATGAGCCCAGAGAGGACTGGAAAGGCAACCCCGACCAGGTCACAGGAAGCAAATCCAGGATGCCCTTGTGGCTCTGCGAGGTGGCTTGGCAGGCTTGGCAGGCCTCTTCTCCACACTGAGTCTTGCTTTTGTCTATGGTCCCGCGGCCCTTTCTGCAGCGCCTCTCTAGGTCGGTCACTTCATGCTCCTCCCTTCATCTCTATTTCAGGACACAAGTCCAAAATGCTGCCCGAATCTTGCAAACAGTTGGGGAATCAGAGGGACAAGGCCAAGGGTGTGGGTTAAGAGAGCCCTGGATTCTGTTTTCACTCTGGGTCTCCAGGCTTCATCAACACTAGCAAACCCTATGATTGAGGCTCAAGCTGGTGGGACAGCTGGGGTTTACATCTAGGACTCTGTGTATCCAAAGCCGTCCAGCTGGGAGGAGGCCAAACCTGGATTTCACCCCAACTCTGTCTGGTTTCCAGACCTGATTTCTTTTTTTTAACCATTGAAATCTATACTTTATTTATTTATTTATTTAACCTGCTACCAACATTTTATTTCATATATTTTTAAAAATTTATCTGTACTGTTAAAAGTATTACAGATATCCCCCCTTTTTTGTCCCCTTTAACCTCTTCCACCCCACAGCTGCCCCCCAGGCCTTCTCCACACTATTGTCTGTGTCCATGGATTATGTATATAAGCATATAAGTTCTTTGATTAATCTCTCCCCACCCACTCCCCCACCCCTGCCTTCCCACTGAGATTCATCAGTCTGTTTCATGCTTCTATGTCTCTGGATCTATTTTGTTCCTCAGTCTATTTTGTTTATTAGATGCCACATATGAGTGAGATCATGTAAAAGTGAATCAGGAAGAATCAGAAAACGTGAATAGGCCAATAACAACTGATGAAATCGAAGCAGTAATAAAAAAAACTCCCAGCAAACAGAGGCCCTGGTCCAGATGGCTTCAGAGGGGAGCTTTCTAATTCTTCAAGTTGTAGGGTTAGTTTACTAAAAATTTTTTCTTGCGTTTTGAGGTAGGCTTGTAGTGCTATGAACTTCCCTCTTAGGACTGTTTTCACTGTGTCCCATAGATTTTGAGTGGTTGTGTGTTCATTTTCATTTGTTTCCAGGAAGTGTTTGATTTCTTTCTTGATCTTATTGGTAACCCACTCATTGTTTAACAACATGTTAT